ATCATATATATCAGATATATCTAATATGTTATATATATCTAATCTCTCTAATATATTCTATTTGTCAATCATGTCAGATATATCATATATGTCAAATTCATCTAATAACAAAAAAATAGCTGCTTAAACTTTGAAAAAACTAGTAGTATTAATAGTTGATAAATATTTAACACAATTAATATCATTTATATTTATTTCTAATTTTTTCAAATTTTTTTTCAACATTTTATTATGCTTATAAGATTTTTTTCTTCTTTATTTCCCTTTATTCTTTGCTTTCTTTTTGAAATTAATGATGAAATATATTGCCAAATAGTATTTTATTATTATCACTTATTAAAGTATTTGAATCTTCTTTATTTTTATTATTATTATTAATTTGTGATTCATAAATAAAATCAAGATATATATTAATGCTTTCATTATTTCAAAATTAGATGCAAATGTGTTTTTTAACAATTCTATATAAGAATAATCAAGACTTAAAGTAATATATTTAGTGTTACATGTTTGACATGTTACTCCTTTAAATAGTAATAAACATTTATCATTGCTTGAAATATTCTTTTAATAAAAAATAAATAAATATTATCATTATTAAAATAAATTTTTAAAAAAATAAAAAAATATTTTATTTAATTTTATTTTTTTTCATTAAGAAATAAATATAATTGTTTTAATTTTTTTCCTTCTTGCTGTGATATATGATCAGATTTTGCTAATAATGTAGTAGAAATATAATGCATTAAATTATGTAACTCTAATATTTTTTTTTAAGCATAATATATTAAATTTTATTTAATCTTAATATTAGTTAAGATATCAAGTAGGTTAGTATTATTATTTTCTAAGAAATGTTCAGAATCTTTTTGAACTTTTCAAAAATTTTGGGCTTGTTTTAGTAATAAAAAATGCTTGTAAACATTTTATTTTACAATATATTAATTTTCATTATTTTAAATCTTATAATACTTAATATTCTTTACTTAATAGCTAAATACCTTTTATCATGTTTGCTTTATTATCAATAATAATAGTAAATATTGTATTTAATAAATTCTAATCTTTAATAATTTGAAACAAATAACCTCTTTTGAATATGGATATAGAAGATGATTATAAAATAATAATGCATTATAAAATTTAAAATTAGATATTAATTATATTGCTCTTATACCAAGATATCAATGATAAGCTTTGCTATTTATAAATCAGTTATTAAATGAATAGCAATAATATTATTATTTAAAAGTATGTAGAGCTGTTTGTTACTTCATTCATAAAAATCATGAATCATTGTCTTCACTATTTTATTATATGGCATTCTATAATCAAATTCACAGATAAAAAGTAGTACTCGCAAATATTAATGTTATAAAATATATAGTGATTAAATAAATTTGATAATAAAGACAATAATCTTTTATGTAATAAGATCTTGATTTTTGCAAATATGATATTACTGCTTTTGAATATTTAATTATTTGAGTTTGATTATACTAGTACTATAAAATTTTAAATATTAAAAAAAAAATATAAATGCTTTTAAATTATAAATTATTAAATTTATAATTCCTTCATTTTAACTATCTAAAAATCCTAAATAATTTTCTTTTATAATGTTATGTTTTTATGTAAATAATTAATAAGATTTGTTATGTTTTTACTTTTCTGATTATTAGAATAAGGTTTTTGTCAAGTATCAGATAAATTAATTTTATATATCTTACAAAAAGCAATGGAAAAATTATTTGAATCAATATGAAAAAAATAGGATATATGATTTTAATTGCTGTAGGATTTAGTAAAATTTCAGTGGTGATAAAGTTTGTTTTTTATTTTTTTAGTTTAAACTTCTAAAATTTGTAATTATTTCATTTGTAATTATTTTAGTTTCATAATCAATTTTGATAGGAGAAATAGAAGAAACATATTCAAAAAGTGTGCTTTCCATATTTTTTTTATTAACAAAAAAAAACTTTCAAAAAAGCATAAAAATTGATAAAAAAATTTATTTTATTACATTCTAATGAAATTATTTTATAAAACAGGAAATTAACAATTTTGAAATTTTACTAAAATAGATATTATTATATTCAATAATTAAAAGGTTTTTAATTATAAAGAAAAGAAAAAAATTTTATGTTTACTAACAGAGAAAATTCTACTAATTATAATATTTGACAAAATAGTCTTAATTGAAATACTAAAACTTAAATCAATTCAACTAGTTTTAGTAAATTTAAATTTCTAAAATAAATTGATTTTATTAAAATCAGATTTCAAATTACCAAAAATTAGGATCAGTTATATATTTAATCAGTTTTAAATTCAAATGTGATGAACTGGTTCTAATTTTTATCAGAATCAAGTTTAAAATATAAAGATTCAACATCAACAACATAATCTTTGACTAATTATCTAGGATATTATTTGCATTGCTTGAGTGTAGAATATTATTGTGTTTATTAATGAGTTGTGCAATATTACTTAAAAAATAATAGATAAAAATCAATATTTATATTGCCGATCAATTGAATTATTCTAATAATACAGTTTCTTTTTATTTTAGTTTTATTATGCTAGGTAAAAACTGATTCTTTTAAAAATAAAGAACTAATGTAAAACATATTTTATCTGAAATTTCATTTGTATCATAGCATTATTGTATCTTTTCAACTAGTTATAAGAATCTTGTTCTCCACCTTTAAAAGGTGGTAAATTAACAAATTTTACTTCCCATTGTTTACCAAAACCAATAAACCTAAAGACTATTTGAAGCCTATACATCATATGATAGAATTCTCATTCATTTTGACTGTTAGCATTATTATTATTGAATGGTAATTCACTATTATCAGGGCTAAAGATGCCAGCTGAAACTCTCTCAAAATAATTTTGTCATATCCCTTACTATGTTTTTAATATAGTTTCAGCTAATTTCAGTTTTTAGGGTTTCATCGTACCCCTCACTATGTTTTAATATAGTTTCAGCTGTTTATTAATTGCCTTTTTTGAGTTTTGTTCCTCATCTTTAATCAGCGCTATTATCTTTAAAATCTGAGCTAAAAGAAGAGGAAGGGCCATCACAATAGAATGAAGAGTGATGATTTTTCTTTTTTTATTTGATTTTTTGATTTTAATTTTTCTGATTTAAAGTAAGAGAAATTATTTTTTAATTGTATTTTTATAATTAGATGTTAATTCTTTGTTTTCTGCTTAGAAAAAAATAGATTTTGTGATTTCATTCTAGAAGAAGTTTGAATTGACTGTCTTTCATAAGTGAATTCATAATTTAATATTGGATTAATGGTTTCACTTTTATTAGAAGTAACATTCACTATGATAGTATTATTAGATTGATAGCTATCATTACATATAAAATCTCTATTATTATTTTTATTACTAGTTTATTAATAGTTATAGTTTTAGATATTTCTGTTATTTTAAATTAGTTTTAGGATTAAATTATTATAGATAGGATATACTTAGATAATTCTAAATAAAAAGACAAAGAGAAAGCAAAGATCTAATTGTGTATCTAAATAAATAATTAAAGAGCTTAGTCTAGAATATAGAAAGGTTATTATTATAGATAAATATCTAAAAAGTTTATTTATAGAAATGTTGTTACTATTCAAAGATAGTAGATACTTTGGCTAATTAAAAGTTTTTAACAATTTTTTCAGTATATTGTTGTATGTCTAAAATAAATTTAGTTTACTTAAGGAAAGACTGAAAAGGTATTGATAAAACTAATAGTAAAAATGCTAAATAACAAATAATATATAAAAATATAAAAAGAGTGTGATATTTACGATTTTGTATTCCTTTCTAAGATGTTGTTAATGATATAATCTCTGATGATGTTAGTCAGAGGGCTGGAAATAAAACTTAAACGATATAATTCAGTCCTTTGAATTAATCATAATAACTTTATCACAATCACGCCTGTATGAAGACACGGTAAAAGGTAATAGTGAATGAATAACAAATATCTTTATTGAACTCTTGGTTTATTCACAAAACCCTATCTCGAGTTATCTTTCAACTCAAGGGAAAATACATGCTATTTATATAAAATAAACTAATAGTAATAGAATATGATAAATATATCTAATATAATAAATATAACTAATATGATAAATAAAATAAATATAATAAATCTATCAAATATAACAAATTTAATAAAGTTAACAAATATTATAAATATGATAAATATGGATCATCAGTCAAATATGACCAATCTGTCAACTAAATCAAATGATCGCCGCAGTTACAGATCACGGCTTCAGTGTGAAAGAGAGAATATAATTTGAAACTATATATATACACACGTCATAAGTTGACAGTTATGTCATCTGTCGGTAGCACTACATTTTGTAAAAAAATAAATTGCCGAATGCAAAAACCGGTACGGTATTTTACTATAAATTCTAATTTTAGAGTGTTCAAAAAAACTATATTTCTTTGAAATTTATTCCGAAAATAAAGGAGGCACATAAATTTATTGACTAAATGGTTCCTTTTTAATATAAGGGCGGAATTAGTATGATATTAGAAATTTATTAGTTAAGCATTAATTGTAACGAACTGGTCATGAAGAATTTGGATGGCTCTTATAAGTAAGTTAAACTTTCCATTGCGATTCAGAACTCAATCATGATGTGTTACCCTTTAAATACTTTTGATTTCTATTACTGAATTTCTTGTTAGATATTGATCGTTGATTTCACTTACTTTTATTCAACGTAAATAAAATTTTATAAATTTAAATTATAATTTTAAAATATTTTAACTTTTAGCTGTTAAAAAATAGTGCGATTACTAATTGTAATATTATTAATAAGATTTCGTTCATACTTTAACCTTATTTCTACCTTTTCCTATGCCGCTTTTCTACTTTGATTTCATTGCCATTTTATCTGTCACTCTCTACCATTTCAACATTATCATTTTCTTCGTAACTCTTATCATCATCTTGGTTTTCATCATATTATTTAAATCCTCATTGGGACCTCTAGGGCATATTGAGATAGTTTATTAATCCATGTAGGAAATTTCTGATGATCATCGTTTTTAGAATTTTTATATTTCTGTGGAGGAAATCTATAAAAGATTTCCGGTGGCACTACGAAATATAAGTAAATATCTTTATCCCAATCTAAAAATTTTTGGATTTTATCTAGTGCTGTAAACTATGAAAGAAACCAACAAGTTAGTATGCAAGTAATAAACTTAACTGACAAGTTGATATCTTTTTGCTTAATTTAATACTGTGTTTCATTGAGACGGTGACTTGGTATAAAAATAGGGTGTTTTCATCATAAATAAAAGAATCAATAGATTCAAAATTCTGCGCAGTTGGGACATTATAATAATTTCTACGTGTATCCTCTAAAATGTAAAATTCTTTAAATTTATAACTCGTGGTTTTTCTATATTTAGTTACAGTGTTTTTATTCCATTCATCAATAGTCTTATTCTAAATCACCACCCTTTTGTATCTGTTGGTGGGCAAAATCTTTGAAAATTCTACGCTGAAACTTTACTATCGCCACCGGTGCACTTTAATAAATGACGAAATTTGATTTGATTGTAGCTTATATACCTGTAGATAATATCTCTAGTTACCATTCTTGAGGCAAAACAATATCTTGGCATAATAAAGTCTGATTTCACATGTATGTGGATAAGTCTACCACTTGCTTAACTTTGATTCATGCATTCTTCACTAAAGGAAATCAATGTACGTTCCAGATCGATCTCTCCGATCAATATTTTATAATCTGACTCAACATATGACTTGTTAACCCAATATTGAAGAACCGTTCGAGGTATTGCTCCCATCTCTTTAACAGGGTATTAAAATTTTCACCAGATTGGCATGTAATATTTTGTGATCCGTTTTTTAAATACATTATATATATTATCATTGGGGAGTGAAAATAGGATGGTGTAGGCATTAAAGTTTATCGAACTTTGTGCATCAACAAGATAAAAGTTCTTTTTGTTTGCGAGTATATTACGAAACATATTTATATTCCCACTTCGTACATTATCATTAGAACTCATACAATTGGTCAATCTTGTCTGCTAATTTCCAAATTATTGTTGCATCGGGATAGTGGTGACGAATGTAATATAAATGAAATAGACCAAAAAATGACTTTCTGATTCCGGGTGTATTTGATCAAATTATGATGCATGAATTTCAAATAAAAACTACGTATGAGAAGGTGTGATATAAAGATGGCGCTGTAATTACCAAAAAATGTCGCAATTGTGTTGCAACTCACGTCGCAATTAAATTACAATTATGAGAACCATCTTTAATGTGATCCAAAGGTGTGATTTCCAAGAAAAAACACCTTATTTGACAAGCATAAAAATCCATCACAATTAAATTGCTCCAATAAATCATCAATTTGCATATTAACAACATCTTTCAAATATACGTATTTGTTATCCATAAGTCCATCTTTAACAGTTGGTCTCAAATTAAATTCCAAATCCGATTCATTCTTGACTTCAAAGAGAGAATTATCCAATAACATATTTTGTGAATAGGGGAAGATAATTTTTGCTTTGGAAAGACCTTTCCAAAACTCAAGCATAGCGAGTTCCTCTATAGGAAAAATTATGAAAAAAAGGAATAAGAAACAATAAGTAATCAACCATAAACTGCATGTTTTTACCTTTATTTATGCTTTTATCTAGTTAGAAAAGAAGAAATGTTAGTGAGAGAATGCAAAATATGAAAGTAAGCATCGCTAAGGTTATTACTTACTTTCTTTTTCTAAACCGATATATTTTTTTTTTACAGAGGTCAAAGTTAGTAAAGGTTACACTGGTATATCACGTAATAATGACTCGAAGCTTACCGGTGTCTGCGAGTTTATCAAGGATAACACGAATTTATGTGCTTTCTACGAAAACACCATCAAAAACTCTTCCAATGGTATCTATCTCATTTTCTAATTTATCAATTAACAGACCATCAAGAGTGATATTCTTAATTTTATTATATTCAATGTCAACTTCCATAATAAAAGTTGTACAGCTTTTAAATCTTCAGGAAGTTTTTAGTGATGAGCTCCTTGAGTCGAAAATATCATTATTTTCACCAATTATAACTTTGAAAATGACTTTACTTTTTTGATCAAAACACCAAAGTGTAAAAGATTTTCCTAGAATTGTAAAGGTAGACATTTTGTTTGTATTAAAAGTAGTTTGAAGGAGTTTTGTTTTTTTAAAAAAAAATGTTATGTTGTTTGTCGAGTTTTAATAATAAATATAAAAATTAGATAATTTTAAACTTAGTTATTTTTACACGAATAGATTATTTACCATATTATTTCTTCAGGTTTACTATTAATTAGGGAGCAGAAATTAGAATTGGAATTGATGAATAAAAATTTGAATCTATAATTGAGGCGCAGTAATAGGCGGAATAAAAAACAAAATACCCAAACTATAAGTAATTAAATTATTAAATAACAAAAGGTTTAATTATATAAAATCCTACGACTTGAGGGAAAAAGTCCAAAATTTTCATGGCATGCAACTCGGGTACCCCCTTTGTACAACATTTTTAACTTTGATAATTTGTTTATCAAAAAGAAAAAAATTAGTAAACCTAACCTTAACAGGGTGATTATTCAATCCATAAATTTCCTTTGATGCAAAACAGAATTTGAATAAATTTTCTTAAAAAATACTTTCCATGTTAATTGCATCATTTTTGACAAGTTAATCGAAACGTTGCAAAATGTTGCGAAATGGTTTATAAGATATATTTTACTTACGACTTTAAAATTCATCAAAAAAAAATACCTTTTATAAAGTATTTAACCCTATAAATTCAATTTCCAACTTGAACGAATATTTTATTTTTTAAGTTGAAAGAATTTATTTTCAATTTCAGAGGATGTATATATAGATTGCTTATTACATAAAGAATTTGAATTCAATTTTTTTTTTAATTATTAATCGAAAATTTTAGCTCATGTTCTGTCATTTTCCCCTTTGCGTCTGATTTTGAAAGCACACGTAACACATATTATGGCCAGTCTATAATAAAATTTAGGTACTTCCTATTTAAGAAACGAAATGCCGGAAATGAGATTTTGCATACACCTCGCTTATAGAAATGGCGTACTAGATTTTTTGATTTTTGATTTTTTTCGGATACGATGGGCATTACCTCAAATCTTCGATAGTAGGTAGACTGCAACTATTTCTGGTATAATATAACCTAGGTAGACAATTTAAAAATATTAACGCGCGGTAAGCACTAAATTAACGTACACGTGAGATTGATCGAGTAAAACTTTTTCTTAAATAGTCGTTCGTAAAGTTGCAAAAATACAGTGACTTAAATACCATCCGTTTGATAATAACAAGGGAATTTTGGTGAATATGTTTGAGAAACATTTGAAAAAACTCTTGTTAGAGTCAACAATGTTGGTAGCGCATTAATTTACAACAATGATACCGTTGTAAGGAACCGAAAAAAATATAGATACACCGTCGGAATGTGGTCGTTTTAATATCAATCTGCTATCCATGCAAATGCAGCTCATAATTTATCACGGTTCTTGATACGGTAGAATATTGCATGAATCAC